ATACTTAGGGCCCTATGAAATCCGTTTTATTATTGTGAATTTTCAGATTTATTATTTTCTGATGTAGTTTTTTTCCATTTAAAAAATAATTAATTCCATCTCCTCCAGCCCTGGGGCCGCAGTGAGGATACGTCTTTATTGTTTTGTATAGCGTTGGATTTTATTTTAGCGCTGGATTCCATGTTATTGTTTTGCTTCCATGATTCCGTCCATGTTCTGGTTAACACAGATTTCATAAGGCTCTACATACTGCCCTCAGAATAAACCTTGGTACTAAAAATCCAAGAAAACCTTTCACTGAGAAAGTAAAGCATGCCAGGGTAAAACAGATACTTTGTTGAGTAGCTGCTACGTCTAAGGAGCCATCACCCCCAGCAGGGACAAGTACAAATGTGCAGCTGCAAGGGGCTCTAGGGAAAGAGGTAAATCTGTATGGCTAACAAAGGGTTTAATGACAATCTACATGCATCTCAGGGACGAAGCAACAGTGAAACTCAGAAGAAAACTATGTCTGAGAATTTTGTCTCATCTTCTCTTCTATATTACCTGTCTTCCCGCAACACCAAAAATTAATAAAGGTCTGTTGGGGAGAATATTTACTTTATTCATGATCCAAATTCAGAGTAACTGAACAAAAAGCAAGAATATTCAGCAGCTTTTGCTCCATCTAATCCAGGGAAAACAATCGTGTTCATACAGTTTAAGACTGGTTATGGGTGAACCAGGTTATAACCAGCACGAATAGGGCTAATCTGTGTTAAGACTTGGTTGATCAGGAATATGCTATAGCATGGGGACAGACCGGAACAGAAGAGCTAGTACACTGTTAGATTTCTCTCTGCAGACTACAAACTGTGCTGCTAAAATGTCTCTAATAGTGCCTCAGGTAAGATGCACAGAAGGAAGAGTTATAAAATACATTTTATAAAGAAGAAAGTAAAAGTTACCTTTATGCCACATGCATTGAATCCCTAGACTAAGTCTTGATTGTACCCATGTTTACATTGACTATAGACCTATGTCGAAGTTAATTAATTTTAAAATGCCTACAGTTCCTTTCTCCTCCACCTGCGTAATTTCAACAGTTATTAGAATTCCTATGTGAATTTATTTGCTTAATCTAAAAGCCAAGGCTACTCTATCAAGGAATATTACAGCCAAGATATTACACATTCAAGCTAATAACTATAATAAATGTCATGGAAATCCAGTTTTAGCACAGCATGCTGCTGTTCTTAGGGAAACTGTTCTTAGGTTAGCTGGAGCTGGGAATGCCAGAGTGACCTAAAATGATATGATACTTTCAGCGTGTTTTAAAGGGGGAAAAGAAGAAAGAGCAAATGAAGCACACTTTGCCTTCATGCTGTCTAAACATTTAGGCCATTTAATGAACCATACAGGGGAACCCTGCCCAGCCTATCAATCCTGGGGATAAAACAGTTGCCATGACAAAGGAATTAGAAATAAATAACAGGCAAGTAAATATTCTTCATTGCTCCAAGGAACCTTCATCTTAGGGAAAGAGAATGATACCCAATGAGCATTTTTTAAACAAAGTTGATAAAACACTCACAAATATAAAATAGTCCACAATGGAGAGGCAAAGAGAGCATACAAGTCAGGTTTACACCTGAGTTACATTAAGGCTGTGATGCAGCTCTACTCACTGTTTAACAGTGTCAGACAAATACAAGACCCATAGCACTGAATAAATGCTGCCTCATGCTCAGTCTCCTTCAGAATCTTGTGCTGCAAAACAGAATAGCAGCATTGCTGGGTATTTAAAAAAAAAAAAAAAATCAGAACTTTTCACTTTACAAAAAAGAAAAGATGTCAAGCTACTAAATCCTCGTAATTCTAATCCACAGAAAGTTACCAAGAACACAAAAGAAGCACAGAAAATCCCCAATATTTTCGATTACATCAACAGAAAATTAATCCTTTCCCCAAAATCAAGAGGTTATCAATAAACAAAACACACTAGTACTAGTTATTTACCGCATGGCAAAAGCTTCAAAAATTTGTTTTTAAAATGTCCGAAACTGGTGATTTCCAACCAGTAGTACATGCACCCCGGGGGTACACAGAGGTCTTCCAGGGGATACATCAACTCATTTAGATACTTGTCTTGTTTTACAACAGGCTACAAAAAAAGCACCAGCAAAGTCAGCACAAACTAAAATTTCAGACGACTTGTTTATACTGCTCTGTATGCTATACACTAAAATGGAAATAAAATAAATCAGTTGGAATATAAATATTGTATAATTATATGGTAATAATTAGAAAGTAAGCAATTTTTCAGTAATAGTGTGCTGTGAAACTTCTGTATTTGTAGGTCTGATTTTTTAAGTAGTTTTTAAGTGAAGTGAAACTTGGGGGTATGCAAGACAAATCAGACTCGTGAAAGGGGTACAGTAGTCTGGAAAGGTTGAGAGCCACTGTCTTAAACTGAACAAAGTAAACTGGACCCAGCTGACATCCTTTTTAGTATCTGACAACCATCAGCTACTTCATAAGAGTGCTTAGAAAAAAAAGTAGAAGGTTTCTAATAAAGACTAATCCTTTGAAAATGCAGTATAACTAACTTACATAAAGGCAGGCACAGCAGATCATTACATATGGTTATCTCCACAGTTTACTTCAGTTTCTTGTAAATTATGCTTTCCACTGAAGATACTCTAGATAAGATATTAAATTTCTAATGTTCATCATCATGTATATTCTACCTCCTTAATATAAGAATTCTTAAAAGGAAAACATACTACTTTGAATAAGAATATACCCATTAATAATAGTAAGTGTTCAACTTTCTTAAAGATCAGTGGCATTGCCTACAAGAAGCCATTAAGAAAGATGTCCTGATAAAGTTAAGGCCTCACTAAAATCTACACAAAGAAACTAAGAATTAAAACAAACTATGCCTAGAGATGGAAGTATATACTCAGGGTTTGAGACCTCATGCTGAAGTATCCCAATCACTTCATAAGTATTCATTTACCTTTGCAGCAACAATGTGAACTAGTCCCCCATCACATAGGAAACTGAGGCACGGAGACATTAAGTGACTTGCCAAAAGTCACGTAGGATAGTGGTTCTCAACCAGGAGTACACATACCCCTGGGGGTACGCAGAGGTCTTCCAGGGGATACATCAACTCATCTAGATATTTTCTTAGTTTTACAACAGGCTACATAAAAAGCACTCGTGAAGTCAGTACAAACTAAAATTTCATAGACAAGGACTTGCTAATACTGCTCTATATGCTATCCACTAAAATGTAAGTACAATATTTATATTCCAATTTATTTATTTTATAATTACACCTCTACCCCGATATAACGCTGTCCTTGGGAGCCAAAAAATCTTACCGTGTTATAGGTGAAACCATGTTATATTGAACTTGCTTTGATCCGCTGGAGTGCACAGCCCCGCCTCCCTTGGAGCGCTGCTTTAGCGCATTATATAAGAATTCGTGTTATATCGGGTCACGTTATATCGGGGTAGAGGTGTATATGGTAAAAATGAGAAAGTCAGCAATTTTTCAGTAACAGTGTGCTGTGACACCTTTGTATTTTTATGTCTTAGTTTGTACGTGAGATGAAACTTGGGGTTATGCAAGATAAATCAGACTCCTGAAAGGGGTACCGTAGTGTGGAAAGGTTGAGAGCCAGTGACATAGCACTAAATGGAGTCCCTGTCCAGTGCCATGCCACAAGACCATCCTCCCTTTTTAATCCAATGACATTACAAATAAGGGTGACCACTCAGATAGCTTTTGTGCTCCCCACACCTGTGCTGTAGGAGCTGGACAGAGGCCACACCATTTCACTGAGAGTGAACAGCCATCGAATGGCAGTGATTTTTGTGCAATACTGCATTTGCCCACATTCAAATCTGCAACCTAAAGCTTGAACCTGTGAGCTTCCAATTCCCGTCACTTCCCTTTAAAGTGACCACAGGCGATTTTTTTTAGCACCTTGGCTTACGGGTGAGCTGCGAACAGTTCGTTGGGATCCAGAATCCTGTGAGTTGAGCGGAGCGCCCCGACTAGCCAGCCCGGGGAGCCCCCAGCGCCCTCCTGGCCTTACACTGCCCCCGCCTAGCTTTAACATTGATGCCCTGGAGACAGGCCTCCAGCCCCCGCTTGGCAGGGACACGCTGAAGGGCCTGGTCATCCTGATCCCCGGCTCCTTGAGGACAAAACGCAAAGGCAAGGGCCCGTGGAGGGCGCGATTTCAAAGCGAGCAGGGGGGTGCAGCCGTGGCCTGGGGCCGAGCCAGACGCCCGCACGTTTCTGGCCAGGGGCGTAGGGCCTACGCGGCGGGCACCGAGGAACGTGAGTCTCCTCAGGCGCGCTGGCCGGGGGACAGCAGCCCCCTGCGGAGCCGAGCCCCGGGCGCGGGTTAACGCAGGCCGTGGGGAGCGCGCCCGGGCACGATGGTCAGCGGGAGAGCCAGGGCGGGTCACCCCAACCCCACTCGCAGGCTGGGGAGCGTCGTCCCCCGCGGACACTGGCAGCGGCTGCCCTGGCTCCTCCCGCACCGCCGTGTCGCTCACCTGCGCCAGCCCCGGCCCGGAGGGGCCCCGGCCCGAGAGCAGCTGCTGCAGTGTCAGGCCCCTGGGCAGGCCCCAGCGCCGGCAGCAGCCCCGCGACAGCAGCAGGTAGCGGTACGCCATTGCCAAACGGCCGCCGTGAGACTCGATTCTCCGGCCACAAGCCCCGCCCCCGCCGCGGCGTGTGAGCTCATCACGTAACGTCGGGAGGGGAACGGGGTCATGTGGCTGCAAGAAACTACCGGCGATGGAATGACGTATTTAAAGGTGGGGCGGGTTTTTTTTCCTGGTGTCCCGCGCGCCCCTCCCACTCGTGAGGCAATTGGGAGCGCGTGAGTCATGAGCCTGCCCAGCACATTCTGTACCCGGCTCGGTGCGTCCCGCCCCCTGGTTGCGTCACGGCCCCTCCCCCGCTGAGCCGGCTCTTTCTTTGCCCTGAGCGAGCGCTTGAGAGGTCGCCATTGGAGCTCGCGCGCCGGGGTACAGCAGCGGAGCGATGAAGATCTGGAGCTCGGAGCACGTGTTCGGGTGAGCAGGCGGGAGCAGGCGCCGCACCTGGGCTGGGGGAGCTTGGGCGCCGGGCCCCAGGCGGGCGGTGATTCCTGCAGGCCGGTAGCGCGCTGGCCCTGCGGCCCCGGGCAGTGACTCCACCGTTACCGGGCCAGACGCCGGTCTGTGCCCGTGGGGACTCCCGGCCCAGCCTGGGACTCTGTCTGTGAGCCGGGGCTCCCTGGCGCGGGCCCCCGCCGGTCACTGGGCTAAACGCCACCCCGGCGCTATGATGCTCCAGTCCTTACCCAGCGCCCTTCGCCCATGGGCCGGGAAATGGCATTTATTCCTAGATCATAGTTGGGGAAACTGAGGCACAGAGTAGGGTTGTGACTCGTCCGGGGTCACGCCGCAGCACAGCGGGAGAGCCAGGTGACAGCTGGCACCACCTAGCCCTACAGAGGAAAAAGTGCTAAGTGCGAACTATGACCTACCGTTACTGCAGTGGCCTTAACTTTACTTATCAGCCTGTGCTGCGACTCTGTATCTCTCTCTCTATCATTGTGTGGGTTGCAGGAAGTGTTATCAATTCCGCAGTTCCTCCTTTTTTTTCCCTAAGAAACTAACTGATCATGAGGTCTTTTTGTAGTTAAAGTTAAGATTGTGCGCAGCTCTCACTGAGTGAGGAGTACATTTTGCTGTTCAAAGGGGATGCAGTTGGTGGCAGTGCAGTATGGAGATCTGTGCAAAATTTCCATACTAACGTGAGAGAGGTGACTGAGGGCTTGTCTAATGGGGAAGTTTTACCGGTAATACTGGTGTGACCCCCTGTGGACATTATTAATCCTGTAAAAGAGTGGCATTTTTCACCTTAGTTTAAACCACTTCTCAACCACCAAGGAAGCTCTTATAATAGAATGAGTGTCCACCAGGGAGTTCTGCTGGTATAACTACATTGGTTTAAATTCACCCCCCAAATTATGCTGAAACTTTCCTGTATAGACAAGGGCTGAAAGCAGTGTGAAAGGTTTCCACAGCTGTCTTCTGTTTGCCAATGCCAACGTATGCAGTAAGACTCTAAAAGGGCAGTTATGAAACTGACAAAACTATTACATTATTTGGCATTAAGGCATAGGCATTCATAAATGACCTTTCATAATATTAGAGCAAACACAGATGTAGTTGATTCTCCTAAAGGGTATGAACAGATTAAAACTGAGTTATTGTAACATTTTGTGTATGTCCCCCCTCCCTTTTTTTTGTTTTTTGTTAAGGTGTAATGTGTTTTAAGTAATCCATGAAATATCTTCAATGAGCTGCTAACATTCAAAGTTAATAACTTTGTCATTTATTTCATGTTGTTCTTCATATAAATGAAGCATTTAACTGCAAAAATGATTATGTATGACATTTGAAAACTGCTTGTGTCACACAAAACGAGAACTGTATAATTGGTAGCAAAGTTTGAGAATACTTGTGTGTCAAAGTCTAGCCACATCATACTGGGAAACATCTGTAGATAGGCTACGAACTTCAGTGATGATGGCTTAGACATTTCAAAACAGCGGCTTCCTTTTCGCGTTTGTGGCACAGATTGGTAGGTAGAAGCTTGTTGTTGTTTTTTTTTTAAAGTCAGTGAAGTCATAGCCTCACTATATAGAAATATAATATAGTCCCTGCTTCCTAGGACTCTACAGTCTAGACTGGATAAACCTAGGAGATACTCTCCTCCTTCCCTCTCCCTCCTTGCTGAGTAAGTTCAGAATGTAACTCTGTAGTCCCAGATGAAGCTTGTAGTTGTGTGTGCTGGTTTTTCTTTTCTTTTTTTTTAATGGACTACAGCGGGGAGGGGGGAGGAAAGAGAAAAGGAACTGGGTGCTTGTTACCACCCAGTTCTTCCAACCTGATGGAAGTGGGTTTTGAGGAGGGGTTTGAAAAAGTCCCATTATTGCAAACTCCAGTCTTGCTTTACCAGTGTTAGCAACTTTGGGAGCCTTAATGTAGGTGTACCATCTGTGTTTAAAGCTCCATGTCATCTAGCCTGGCACAGACCCTCTGTTGATTAGACATGCTGTGTCTACACTGCATGGTTGGCCTTTGTCAGCTGACTCTAGCTTTGGTTGCAGAGCTATAAAATTGCAGTGTATGCATTTGGGCTAGAGGCTGGGTGCTGGGACCCTATGAAGGGGGAGGAGTCTACATTACAATTTTATAGCCCAGCAATCCAAGCCCCATGACCCAGAGTCAGTTGGCATGGGCCAGCTGTAGGTACTTTATTGCAGTGTAGACATACCCAGAGTGTTTAAAAATGTCATTGAAAGCCCCCCTATGCTAGGGCTCTCGCAGTTGCTAACATAGGTGAAGCTAGAATGATGTTAGCAGCAATCTAAAATCTTTGCTAAACTTTCTTAGTATAGGGGTTTATACTGGTTTAGCGATATTTACTTAAATAACTTCAGATAAGCTGGTGTACATTTGGTATGTGGGCAAAGATCTAGTCTCAGGGTTTTGACAGCTGAAGTTATCATGTGTAAACCAAAACTTCTAGTGTAAAATGAAAGGGGTCGGTGCTATTAACACTTTCTCTTTTGTTGCACAACTTCTGTTTTGAGCAACTGCAGAGCTTGACTTGAAAATCAGTTATCTGTGGAACATAATACTTTCTTGATGCTATGTGAAAATTAGATCGCAGAGTGTGCGGCCTGCAAAACTGTATGCTGCAATGTGTGAGAGTGTAGTTAGATCAGAGATTCATAAAATGGCCTTTAGCTCCTTGAAAGTCTTCAAGGACATCTTGCCTTTGTTAATCACCTTTATGCTTCGTTTTATGTTCATGTTACATTGCATAATTCCTGATGATAATATGAAGACTAATTCATGCATATCTTTTAGTAGAGAGCAGGGTTTAGGAATAGAGGAAGGAACTTTTGCTTGAAATTATATATATAAAAATTTCCCCATTTGAAGCTGAAGGACCACTTTGTTTTTCCTGTTCATGCTGGAGATGTTTGCAAAACTCCAGTGTGTGTGTGTTATAGAGGGATGTCTTGTAGATGCCTTCCTACATGGGGGAGTTAAGCTGTAGTCTAATTCAAAACTGAAACTCTTTTCCATTATTTATCTAATATAGCTCCTATAACAAAGTGTGTGTGTGTCAAAATGACTCAATATCTTACTCTTCACAAAACCTCACCTATTTAAACATCTCCAATAAAAAAGACAAAATACTGTTTAGTCAGAAGTTTGAATTAAACATCAAATCAAATTCTGGCATTGAGGGAAGTGACGTCAAAAGTTAGAGCCTCTGAGAACACCTTGTTACTGACCTTGGAAAGCTGGGCCTTAGGAGCTGACTTTCAAGACTTCAGAACATGACATAAGGCTGTTTGCCTCTGAGGTCCTGACTATGCGCAACAAAAACAGTAGTCAGTTGTATAAAATTTACTGTTGCAATGCTTATTCTTGTAAGGGTTTTAACACCTCCACATAGCAACACTTTTTGCATGGTGCCTGCACTTGTCTTTTATTCCCGAACTTTTTTTTCCACTGCAGAGGTACACTTGCTAACAGCAGTGGAGCTAAACAAGTGTTAGTAATATGGAAAACTTGAGTGCAGAAAATACCTGAGAGAAACCACTGTAGTTTGTGTTGGTTTAGCTGGACTTGAGCTTGCTCCTTGAAGTAACAGCTGATTTACAAAATGAGAGAATCCTACTGCAGACAGTAGCTGTGGGTAGCAGGTGCGTGGACCTCAGCTGTATTTGGCTTTCAGTGGTTGGTCTGCTAGTTTAGACGAAACAAAACTGTTAAAGAAATCTTGATAAAGATCTGGTGGAATATGGTGTTTAGTTCAGAGGCTGCTGAGGGCTTAGGGGAAACGTATTCTTGACACTGTCACTTTGCTAATGTAGTGGGGGGCCTTCTTTACATGTGAATAGCAAGAGCTGAAAGTAAGGTGAGTACCAGTCTCCACAACCCTAGAACATTGAAAGAAGTTTTCAAGGAGGCCAGCTTTAGCATGGAGAACATGACCTCATAAATCTGTTTGTTTGCCATTTTAGTCCTGGGATATTAGAGAGACAAGGTGGATGAGGTTATACCTTTTATTGGGTGAAAGAGACA